GGGCGGTGGCCCGCTCGCCCTCTCTCGCCCTGCCTCTAGTCTTGCCCTGCGGCAGGCCCCAGGCCACGGCCGTGTACAAAGTGTCTGAATACGCCCGGCGGTTTGGGGTCCCGGTGATCGCCGACGGAGGGATCCAGACTGTGGGGCACATCGCCAAGGCCCTGGCACTCGGTGCCTCCACAGGTGAGGGGCAGGGGGTCTCCTTTCGGGGTGACTTGCTCTGGCCCTTGGAATTTCAGCCTGAGCAAGCTCTTCCCTGACTGCACGCTCAGGCAGTGCACGGGGAGCCGAGATCCATGGGAGAGGGTGCTTGGGGGCAGGGACTTTTTGCTGTTTGCTGGAGACACAAAGGCCAACTGCAAACCCAGCAAGTGTCAGGGCTCAGCCGAACCCTTCTCCCTAAGCTTGTCTGCTCCTGCCGTTCCTCCCCCCACACCCTGCTACTGGGGAAGAGGCTCAGGCAGCCTCCCCCTGGGCCTGCCAGCGCTCAGCTCTTGCCAACCTTGCTGCCTGCAGTGATGATGGGCTCGCTCCTGGCGGCAACCACGGAAGCCCCCGGTGAGTACTTCTTCTCGGACGGCATCCGGCTGAAGAAGTACCGGGGCATGGGCTCGCTGGATGCCATGGACAAGAACCTGGGCAGCCAGACCCGCTACTTCAGGTAGGAGACCCGGTGCCTGCCACGCACTAGCCTGCCAGGCTGCGGGTCGCTTCATGGGCCCTCGCTTCTAATCCTCCGCAGTGAGACAGACAAGATCAAAGTGGCCCAGGGGGTCTCGGGCGCGGTGCAAGACAAAGGTTCAATCCACAAGTTCATCCCCTACCTGATCGCTGGGATCCAGCACTCCTGCCAGGACATCGGTGCCAAGAGCCTGACCCAAGTCAGGTAAGGGACTGCCCGTGTGAGCGTGTGCCAAAGCTTTGGTCTGCCCTGGCCGTGCCCTGATAGGCTTCCCTTGCAGAGCCATGATGTACTCCGGGGAGCTGAAGTTTGAAAAGAGGACGACATCCGCCCAGGTGGAAGGCGGAGTGCATGGCCTCCACACGTGAGTCCCTCGCCGGGCGGGTGGCAGGGATGAGGGGCTGGGACAACGCACAGCAGCTAAAGTCCCAGTCCTGCGGAGCTGAGCCAACGTTCCTGTCTGTCTAGGTACGAGAAGCGACTCTTCTGAGGGAAGGCCTGGCTGCGTGCCGGGCGCCGGAACTGCTCCTTTCACAGAAGTGCCACTGTCCTGCGTGCACCTGCTGCAGCCCCGCTGCTCCGCCCGCGTGCTGGCCCCTTTTACAATAAAGGAAAAGGTGGGGCTCCTTTTCTGGGTCCCACCACACTGTGGCCCTGCTTCTCGTGGATCCCCGGCTCCCAGAACTCGCTCTAGTGTGCGGCTGGGCGCGGTGTGCTGCGCGCTTCCCAAGGGCGCAGGGATGGCTTTGGTCAGGTTCGCTGGTCGAAGGGGTGGAGCTACTGCTCTAGACTGCGCTGCCTGAGTGACCCTTCCCATCCCTGGCCCAGCAGAATAAGCCAGGGGGCTGCCCTCTCTAAGGGACTGAGCCCCTGCTGGGGGAGACAGCCTGCCCGTGGCTGTTTTTCCTCTGCCTGAATTCACACGAGAAGCCACGTGCGGCAGCTGTGCACGGCCGGGGCCACGTTTATTCTGAGTATTTTCTCCTTCCTAGTAACAGTTCATGTTCCCTGTGCAGGGTGCGGCCAGCTCGGGGGGATGAGGGCAGCTGCGGCCATGCGGTGCTCGCCTCTCAGGAAGTTGAATGTTGCACAGGCATTAGGCTGAAAGAGAAGGCAAAGTCCCTGGTTGCCCATTGAAACAGAAGCCACCAGAGCCCCAGGCCCCGCCTTCCTGGAAGGAGGGTACAGGACAAGGCTGTTTCCACCCAGCGCTAGCCCAGGGTCTATTTGCAGGGGCAGAGAGCCACACGCGGCAAGGCCCTGGTGTGCCGCACCTGGGCAGAGCCAAACCCTCAGCACTGGGCCAGGCCCACCCCCAGCCACAGCGGAGGAAAGGGCCAGGGCAGAGTCCGGGGGAGGAGTGGGGCATTTCGAGGGGCCCACTGCACTAGAAGGGCGCCTTGGCCACCTCCACTGGGCCTGGCAGCCCTGAGGGGTCCCCGTACCGTGTCCTGCACCTCCACTGCGATCCCACACTCCCGCATGGACTTCAGGACAGCGGGGTCCAGGCGCTGCACCTTGTCACCCACACCCAGCACCAGGATTTCTAGCAGCAAGAGACAAGTCCACGTGAGCGAACCCCCCCCCCCTACATTTTCACCCCACAGAAGTCCCTGAGTGCCCCCGGCTCTCGCCTCGGGGCCATGTGGAGGGGAGGGGAAGTTCTGCTTCGGCTCAGCCAAGGACAGGCAGCACAGAACCTGCGCCCAGCTCGCTTGGGGGCCTGGCACACCAACCAGTGACTGCCCAGCAGGCAGAGTTCAACGCAAGACCAGCCAGGCTGGGTCTGATCACAGGTCCATCTCGCCAGCCGCCTCGTGAACAAAACAATCATCCCTGCTCCATCGCACATGGGCTACGAGCCATTGCTGGGCCTAACCACCAGGAAGGTTCTAGTGCTCTTTTGAACCCTGTGACAGTCCTGCTCTTCACATCCTCTGGCGAGGAGTTCCACAGGCCAACTCCCTGCTGTTGGTTTTAAAGCTGCTATGGATTGTTGGCATGGTGTGACCCCTAGGTCTTATGTTCTGGGAACAAGTAATTTTTCCTTATTCCCTTTCTCAGCTGGAAAGTCCGTGTTTTATTCATCTCCCCTCATGGCAGCGGCTCCAACCCCCCAATCGCTTGCTCTGTTGGGAGCAGCTCCCACCTACCTAGTCTGGGCTCCAGCAGCCGGAACAGCACCAGGCTGTCCTGCGTGATGTCCTGGTAGCAGCCAACCTGCAAGACAGGAAGGGCCAGCAGAGACCCCTTGCGCCTGGGCTGCACCCCTGCCCACTGGCCAGGAGTGTGGGGCAGCGGTCACACCTCGGAGACGTGTGAGGGCTGGGCTGGGCCTGGCCAAGCCCTGGACGCAACAGGGGCAGGCCGCTTGAGGGGGCATGCCCAGGGGCCCGTCTTGGGGACGGGTGGGTCCGGCTGGGGGGGGGCGAGGAAGCGCAGTGTGAGGGGGAGGTGCAAAAGGCT